ATCCCCTAGTTTGATATCATATTAGCTGGGGGTGAATTGGGAATTAAGATTGCAGTCCATGTCAATGCAATGGAGCCATGATGTTCAAAGCCTATGTGAAAGCGATTTTGTGAAAATGGAAGCTACTGTGATATGAGCAGTCTCTGCCAAGAACTGGCCACTACTTATTGAAGGAGACACTTCATATTGTTACACTCACTGTATTAAGGTTACATGTAAATCACACTTTCAGTTTCCTCACAGTGGTTTTCTTTACTCAGAATTTTTTATCAAAGAATTTTTTAAGAACAAAGTTAATTTCAGCTTTGATACACTATTATTTCTTTGAAAAACAAAATTCACTGTATATGTATCTTTATCATTCATTCCAGAATCTCATTGTGCCTTAAAAGCATGTTGTGATGCCTTGTGATACAGCTCTAGTTTTAGGGTGGTTACATGTCTGTTTTTGTAGCAAGTTGTATATATATAAATAGTTGAAAAAGATTTAGTATGTTATATCAGTCTTGCAAGTTGCAGTTGTATGCATTTACATTCAGTTACTGAAATCTGACTTAAGATGGATAACCGTGATATTTAAGATAAGGTGTAGGTTTTCTTGGCTTCATTCCATCTTACTTAATTTTTTCCACAGAATAAATAGAGACCCCTAGGTTGGGGTCTGTATTTAAGATAAGGTGTATGCTTTCTTGGCTTCATTCCATCTTACTTAATTTTTTCCACAGAATAAATAGAGACCCCTAGGTTGGGATTTAGTTGTTGAGGGAAAGAGTAAATATATTATGTTTAAGCTGCCTTTTGTAATCATAGCTTTATGAAACTTTGCACTTCTACAGTAAGATGCTGAACAGACTTTGTTAAGGTTCCAGGTGTTATTTTACTTTGCTGATACACTGATAATACAGATTTTTTTCTCTGTTATTTAAATTCTAGTAATATAATGGTGAAGCAATATCACATGAACTTGGTGATTCACACATGTATTTCAATTTATTTTGCAGTGATCGTTTTTCAGAAATATTAATCAGATGTATAAACCTCAATTAACAAAGTATGAGCAGTATGAAAATTACTTTGAATTCAAGAAACTAGGTTTTAGATGTGCCATTGAAAACTTTTTTCTTCATTTTCATGTTTTTCTGTATTACACAGAATGTGGAAAGTTTTAAATTTGCATAAGGTCACTTTATGTATCATGTATAAAAATTACTTATCAAAATCATTAGAATGGATTTGAAATATTCATGTACTTGGTAATAATATTTTACCTGCATGAAGCACAATTTTGTGGTATTTTAGATCACATGGAGCAATACGTACATTGTTCTTTGCAACTAATATTTTCAAGACCTAATAAATATGTTGTATTTTTCAGTATGACCTAATAAATATGTATTTTTCAGTATGGTGTTTTATATTTTCCGTTACAAAGAAGAGCTACTTGTGGAATATAACATATGCTCATAACTGGTTTGAAAATTGCAATGTAAAGTTGCAAAGTGGTATTATAAATACCTCCATGAAAAATTTTCATACTTTAAGGCAAAAGTGAGAAATTTGGTGATTGATAAACATTAATGACTAAAACATTACACATTATGATCAGTTAAAGTTCAATGTTTAAATTAGATAAGACAGCAAAGCTGTCAGATGTACAGACCTAAAGCAGGAAAAAATGATGTGCAAAAATGGTATTTTGTCAATTTAAAAACAATACTATATAATTTTAACAGCATTATCACCACCACATTTTACCAAAGTTAACAAGCACATGCAGAGTAAGTACCTAGCATAGGGCTTCAAACCCGTATGAGTCCAAAGTCATACATGCGGGGTAAGTTTTATGTTCTTGAAAGTCAGACATACAGGGCAAAATGTAAAAATCACAAAAAACTTGATAACTTCAAAATGATAATATTAATCTGCAGGGACAGATCCAGAGATATTTTTTGACAGTCTTCCAAATTATCTTTGTTGATCTATCCTCCATTTTTGACCGTCTTCCGACAGAAAACATTAGATGACGGACAATGTAAACTTGAAAATCTGACCGTCTTCCGGAAGACCCAGAAGACGGCCTAAATCCGCCCCTGATCTGATAGGCCTGCTTAGGCTTTAAGTTCTGCAAAGCACCTCTGCAATTTAGAAAATAATACGTAAAACAGTTTTCTTTTTCATTTGCTTGTGTTTTGCCAATTCTGATGCAATATTACCTAATGCTGCAATTAAGAATATCTGAGAAAGTCTGTGTAAAGTTGAGTGCTATGGATAAGTTATTTATGGCCCTGTTATAAAATTTCATGACTATTTGATGGTTAATGAGCCAAGTAAGTTTAGAACCCACATCTTACAGCTAGTAATTATCCACAAAGGACAATCAAGACTTTCCAACAGCAATATATTACCTGATACAAATTTGGGTTTACAAAAAATGAAACAATAATGCACAAAATGTCATTTTGTGAAATCCGATGCAATAATGAATAAAGCTTAAAGTCATAATAACTCTTCATTTTGGCCAAAAATAGGATTTTCCTGGAGTAAACGGCAATTTTCCCATACTTACCAATGGTCAGCGACCCCATTCCTGCATTCAAAGTTAATCCAGGGTTTTTTTCCTAAACGTAAGGTTTTTTGTTAAAATCTCTTAAAAGATTTTAACTGACGGAGCTCTCTCTGACATCGCATAGTCACTGTTGACCTACTTAAAACTGCGGGAAAAGCAGACAACAACAACACTATATAAGATTCATGAGATATATTCGTCTTTTTGTTAAAAATACATTAATATCCACAATGTGTGCCATTCTGGGCTTTTCGTTATCCGACGCAATGTACAAAAACTCGCAACTTACGTCTGCGTCTGCATTAATGCGTTTGGCGCCATATGTTATTTTGGTCTCGAATGAACGCGAGAATCCGCATGACGCCAGTACGTCATTAGCAATGAATGCCTTGATGACCAGGAAGAAAAGCATCGAAAGCCCTATTGACAAGCACAGATTTTAGTTTTACTACAATAACGGCCGTTTTAGTGGTAAAATACAATAGAATATATTTCCATGCGTTGTTTACAATGTATTTCATGCGGAATTTTGAATCTCAAAGGAAGAGTTATTATTGCTTTAATTAACAGCACAATCAACAGTGAAAATCCCAATATGTGTATAATGATGACAGTGCACAAAATAATATTACTTATACTTAACAGCATAAACACTGTTTATGTGGAAATAAAGGAAAATGTTATTGGTACAAGGCTTCAGATGGATGAGAGTTAAAAGTCACATCTTGAAAATGCCAGTGATTGAAAAAAAAAGAAAAAAAAAACAGATGGAGAAAATATGAAAATTAAAAAAAAAATTCCATAAATTTAAGAAAGACAAATAATCCAATCTGGTTTTCCAATTTGAACTGTAGTTCAATCATAAGATTCAATCTTACAAGTTAAAAACAATACGCAATTAAAATTTTCTTTTTAGAGCACTTGTATTGGCAGTTGTCAAAATAGGGTTCAATTTTGATGCAATATTACACATTGCTTAACAGCATAATCACTCAATTTTTAATTTTGTACTGCAGGTAACACAGATATTTAGATTTGACTAGCAAAGGACTTCAGGTACCTTTTTTTTAAAAAAATGGGCATTCCTTAACTGTTTATCTTTGTGCACAGTGAAAAGTGTTTGGACCTATGATTCTAAGGTAATGAAACAATAAACCACCATAGGTATTGGACTATTAGTGTCATTTTCAGCTAAGAATTAAAAAGTTTAAAGGGATAATGACTGTTCATTTTGGCCAAAAAATGAATTTTCCCGGAGTAAAAAAATTTCCCATACTTACCAATGGTTAATGAATACATTTCTATATTCAAAGTTAGTCCGTTTCTTTTTTCTAAAAAGTTTTTTTTTGTAATAATCTCTTAAGAGATTATTACAGAATATTGCCATCTATGGAGGTCACATGGTCAGATGACAAGCTCAGATATCAGAATAATAGCTATAACTGCCATTTTTATGGTAAAACAATATATTACGTTTCTATGAGTTGTTTACAATGTTTTTACTGTGAAATATAGATCTCATAAGAAGAGTTATTATCCCTTTCAAATACACAGCAATGTTTGGAAACATATATTGTCTGTTGTAATAAGACAAATCCACCCCCTTTCACATGAAAGTACTCCCATTGTAAACCAACACATAGGAATATTTTGACAGATTTTCTAAAATGATCACTTCCTACTGTTACCCAGTATCGTATACGTACAGATATATAAAACATAACTTCAATATACATAAACAAATAAGGCTGATTTAGAAGTTGATCTGTATATTAGTCTGTTGAATCTGTCCTGTAAATTGTAAAGCAAAACATAAAACAGATTTCATTTTATTTGCACAACAGTGGATTATTTATGCTGAAAAAGGGGAAAAAAGAGAGAGAGAGAGGCATAACTTTTGGATTCTATGTTAAAGGTACATACGAACCGAGCATCGGCGGAGCGTGGATTCCCAGTTACACATGTAAACCACTTCTACTAGTGCCTTATATAACTCAAATTAATTCAACATGCCAAGGGTCAAACTGAATAGATCACTTGATCAGCTATAAAAGAGCTTTAGACTGCTGCTTTCTTTAAATTTTTGGTCAGAAATTTAACCTACTTTCGTGACCTACTTTTCTGCCCCATTGACATACAGCAAAGAATGCTAGCAGAAAAATACGTTCAAACATCATTTACAGGTAAAATTAAAGAATGCCTTTTGGTAATTCTCTGAGTTATACTACTTGCAACTATATGCTGGCATTTGGTCGGTTTTTGTGACAAAAAAATTGACTTTGTATGCATCTTTAACATCATGGTATAGGGAAAAATTTCATTCTTCTCATTTATAGTATCATGTCCTTTGTATGGATTATGTAATTAAATGTGCAATTTTAAATAATAATAATAATAAAAAACTTCTGAAGTAAAAACTCAACAAACCCACTCATACTAGAAAATTGTGTATTCCACTTCGTCTTATATTACGAATATTACGGAAGTTAAAATGAGATGTGAGCCACACATGCACAATCAGTGTGCTTAGCGCTTCCCATCAGTACATGTGCGGCAGTGTTCATTGAACATTTTTTGTATATTTTTACACTTCATTCGCACAAGTATTACGAGAGTAGGACACAGTTCTACTGTATTTACGTGTATTTATGTTTCTAGACGTTGGATTAAATCATAAAAATGGCAGATAACCATGTTACATGTGCCACTGCAAGCATGGAGGCTAACAGATGCTCTCTTTTCACCCAGGTATAAAGATCTCTTTTCATCCAAGTGTAAAGATCCCAGTCAAGGATAGCAATTATTTTAACCCAGATATGAATAGTCCATTTTAGCAACAAAAAAGTACATATTAGCTAAATAAAGCATTTTACTTAAATGTATCAACAATCAAAATCACTTGGTCGATTCAAGTCCTGAATGGTATACCTGGCCTCTTGTGACTCCAACACAATTTGACTCCATTACCATAAAATTCTATTTTTTCCTGGGCTTTGAATTTCGTTTTCTGTCATCTAATTCCTTTGTGAATGCTAACAGTTTTACATTCCAGTTTAGATTATAGCATACTGTTCATACAACAGTTCTCGTACTTTGAAATAATCTGCTCCTACACATCCTTCCAATTGAATCCTCCCAGCTTCATTCTGAAAAGAAGAGAAAAATATACAGATACATTTTTCCTGAAATAGGCAAAAGATTATTATATTATACATCTATATTATAAACATAGGGTGTGTTTATAATCTGCCTGTTTGAACTGGTTATACTGTGGTTTAAGAAGAATTTTAACAGGTAAACGTAACTATTATGGTGCACGAGTTAAACCCTAACCAATTTTAATCATTCAAAGGACAATGATAATGTTTAAAGACCTCTTCTTGGTTTAACTAAGGGCGCATTCCCAATGAAACTACAGTTCTATGTAGATCAATCCAACTCCCTGGACTTCTCGCTGAATGCAATCAGATTAAAAGATTAACACGCCTCCTCTTGTTTCCAATGCACACATATAATCACCAGCTTTTCTGTACTCTACTCAACACTAAGAAGGCATGTCTAGCTAATTGCATTCAGCAAGAGTCCTCACTGGATCTATCTATGAAGAGTAATAGTTTCACTGGGAATGAGCCGTAATTTCTCCTCCATTTGCCTGAACAGCAAAACTACACAAAAACAACATTTATTGGGACGTTGTTCATTTGAGCTTTATTAATACAATTGACCACACAAACTCACTCTGGAGTCTGAAGTTCTTAGTTTAAAAAGCACAAGCTAACATCAACTTTTGATGTTGCTACAAAGGGCTGATAAATAGTAGCAGTGTCTGCTTTTAATTCTCCTGCCCTAAAGGTAGAGTTAAGTAGTCCATGAAGGACCATAATGATATGATTTATTCTCAGCCAAGAGGTTTTTATTTACCCCCTGAATCTTTATATTGCATCATAAATTTTAATTAAGAGTGATAATTTTGCAGGAATGATACTATTATTTTCTTCTATCTACTTTTTATCTCTGTTTTTTCCCTCCTGTATTTGTGTGCACAGCTGATGGACTGTTCAGCCCAAAGCCAAAGAAAACTGTAGAATTTCAAGAAGGGGTCTAATGATTGTGTCAGATTGCACATCAAGACAAATGTTCCAAAAAGTTCACCTAACACAATGCCTCCTAACGCAATCAAAAATAATCTGAACTTGGAAAGCTATGAATCAAAAATTGATGTAAAACAGATTAATCAACTTATCTCAATTCAATCACTTTGAACTGAATTACAAGACAACCATGCAAATACACACAAAGTTTGTCTAAAATTAATGAATATGTTCAAAAGCCAATACATGGTCTTTGGTGAACTCGTGCATATGAAATTTGAAGTAGGTTGAAACAAAATCCATAAGCAGTCAACCCACCAGGATACCAAACAAAGATTATGATACAAAGCTGGTAAATAAATAGACACTAAACACATAAATGTCACTCCCATTGTTCATTTTTAAGATAGACAGACACATTTCAGTAAACATTTAAACTATTGAACCTTTCAACATTTACAGCAACTGACTTTATCAACAATGTATTGCTGCATTCCAAAACAAAGTCAGTGGCTTTCGTAATAATAATTGGATCATGTTGACTTTAGAAAGAAACCTGCCTTTTAACCAATCAAAGCCACAAGGATGCAAATTACAATTAAATTATTAGCTTCCAAAAGGCAAGTCCTATAATGCTATCAATTTTAGTACCTAATTGGGTTTTTGGTCAATGCCAAAGTGTATTGGCTTAATCATTTAATAACTCAATCAATTCTGATTATCATTTTATATATAAATGAAACAGTTTTAAAACCTATTCTGAAGCTTAAAGAGACAGACCAAGGAGATTTTTATCGGCTTCCATCTGTTCACTTTCCTTTCAGATAGTTTGTAGTAATGCTTCAAATCCTTGTTACAGTTTTCAAGGGACCAAATCATTGACCCCATTAGAATTTGGATTAATACAATAACTGAACTGAAAAACATCAAACTGGTTTAAGTCAATTTTAAAAGGAGGTCATACTTTCTTTGAACGCAGTTTTAGTGGTTTGTACAGTTGAGAAGTGGCTATAGAACCAAAACCACAAGCAAATGTGTGGATTTTTTTCTGTCTCAATTTTTAAATATCATGACTTAAACTTACATGAAGAGTACTGACACGACTTATCATACTTACTCGGCGCACAGCTACTGTTCCATTGCAACAGAAGAGAATACCGGCCGAAAACTCTGCCGAGATCCCTGCTCTCTGTAGGACAAGCTTGAAATCTGACAAGCGAGGCTCATTTATAAATACAGCAGAGTGGCCTGGGACCTAAAATTCGAAATATAGACGAACAACTAATATATTTTCTGCAAGTTGAAACATGGAACATACAAAATCAACTCAAAGGTAAGTGATAGCAAGTGATGTTTTAGTTGTAAAATCAAATTTTTGTGCTCTTCATTACAAAATTTAACAAGATAATAATAATAATTATTATTATTATTATTATTATTATTATTATTATAAGTCTAAAATTCAAATAAGTACAAAACACTTTCAAAAAAGAAGATTAAGAAAATCATTAAAAACAATCTGATATATCTGTTATCACAAGTAAGAAGTAAGCTCTTTCCTTATACTGATTAAAGTACACTTAATTTCATAAAAACAGAACAGCAATAATATCTCAGTTGTTAAATTTCCTTTAAGGATATGTCTTCAATTCCTTTTTCAAAGTCTCAAGGGAAGCAATTAATGCTATGTAATATAAGTGGAAGTGCAATTCATGTGTTTGTGCAAATAAATTGTCACAGTATTTAACAGTTATGGCCTTGCATGATGTTAGAAAGAGTTGGTCACAAGAGCACAACTTGCATAAGTGGAGATAAGGTAACATTGTAAAAAGCAGTGAGGGCATGAAATTGGATTTAAAAGAATCCATGTTCTTATGGGTAAACAGTGTAGGATAGATGTAACGTGATTGTCCTCATGTTTTCAGGTAAAGACATGAGCAACAATATTTTGAATGTCCAATACACACCATACAAAAGAGAATCAGTGTAGTCCAATCTGATTGAGACAAGGGTATTTAGGACAGAAGTGGTAGAGGGGTCACTGAGATGAGTTCTCGAAGATGCAACGTGCCTGATGTGAAACATTATACGATTCAAATATGTGGGATTTTTTATCCACAGAATTAGCAGATTCCAAAGAAGCTAAAAAAATTCTGATTTAAAAAAAAAATTAATTTCTGAAAATATTTGATGACACCATACCTTAAACATTGAATTACTGTACATGAGGTGTACTTAAAATTATCAAATCATGCCAATTCCAATTCTTTCTGTACTTTCAAAATTTCAATTAAGCACCACAAAGAAAAAAATCCACATTTCTTGACAATTACATGTTCTAAGAAATGCAAAATCAATGATTAATAATATATCATAATTCCTTGTATTTGAATCATCCATGAAATCCTAAACAATTATTAATGCTCGACAAAATCTGTTTATGTGAAGAAACGAGGCTGTCACCTGTAAAAAAACAAATGTTATGGATAAACCGATGTTTTTTGTTTCTTAAACGATGTCACCTTCACATTAGCAAGCCTCAAAGCACTGCAGTTAAAGATCTTTAAAAATCCCATTGCCATGTTGGATTGTGGTAGAGACACTAAACATGCAGCCTGTTTTCAAAAAGGCTGTGAATCACGCTCTCAAATGTGATATATTTTATCAGGAGGCATAGAATTCTTCAGATAACATACTATTCCCTATTATTTTATCTTTTAAAAATTTAGCGATTTAAAAATCATTACAGAACCAATTAATATGTGTCATTTATTCGATTATTACCACCCAATTGATTTCTGAATCAACACAATTTTTTTGACTTGCCAGGTAATTTGAAAAGGATTTAAGCTGTTATCAGGAATTATGACAGCAGATTTGAACGTTTCACTGTACGTGTTATAAATCATATCACAGGAAAGAAAAGATAACATACAAAGTCTGCATGATGAAAATCCATATAATAATCCAAGGAATATCAATCAAAAGGGTCATGCATAATTTTTCTTGTCATGGAATTAACTTTTATGGTTTTGTCACCAAGCCTTAAATGGTAATTTATGCTCTTTTCTCTAGGCAGGGTTGTGGCAGTTTGAGCAGAGAAAAAGAGACAGAGATGACATTTTATTTTCAACATCAGCAAATCGATACAAGTCTGCATCCTAATTACAGATTCAGAAGTTTACAGTTTAAAGATTGTAGCACAGTAATAAGTAGGGAATTATTGTACGAAATCCTTTAATACAAGAATTTTTTTTTTTTTTCAGGTAAAAATTGTGTGATGAATTTTTCATCGTTAGTTATGACAGTCATGAGTGATAGAACCATGAAAACTAGAGATAAGTCACAGGGCACATACCTTTGTCAATAAATTAAACTGATTAAAATGAGATAGTGGCTCAAGAGTGGAAAACCACAGATTTAAAGATAAACAGTTCCTCACCTGAACAGGTCATAAATCTTTAGGATTCATGTAAATAATTAACGTTTTAAGTAACAAAAAAATATTTCCAATTAAAACAGAACAGGGGAATTTTCTTTCACTGTCAGAGCTTCTAATTAATAATGACAAGGTCGAACTGATGATCTTAACATATAATAGATGGAATGAAGCTTCTTGCAGTCATGGCCATCCTAGTTGTTAATAACCTAAAGTGACTCCAATTTAAATAAACAAGAAGACTTCAAGAAGTCAACCCACCTGGTTAGAGGGCAAAGATACCAGCACAGGCTGTAGGTCTCCACTGTCCTCATCCTCTGCTCCCACTAGAAGGACAGAAAGGACAATCCAAATGAGCATACCACACTTCAAATTTATGAAAAAGTTCATATTATAAAACCAAGACAAACCATTCAGCAAATCTAAGTGAATCATAATTAAGTCATTTCTTTAAAAAAGCTAATTAAGCAGTTGAATAATTAAATTTTAAGTGTTTCATCAGACTTTGCATGTACAAATTAATTAATAGATGAACCATACTTTGCCAATCTTTTCTTCACTTACATTTCTTCTTCTCTAGTGCATCTGCCTCCTCAAACTTAGCACTAGTGTCAGTCTTTGCTTTGGTAAGATCTAGCATTCCATCTACCCAGCCGAGTTCAATGTCTCTTGTTTTAGCAAGTTTTATTTTGCTAATCAGGGAATCTTTTAACCTAACCTGTAAAATCATTGGGACAAAATCAATTAAACTATATATATATCTGTCAGTCATCTTGAAACACATTAAAACAATCACAGGATGTCAAACGAAATGCAGTTATGACAACTCACTCAAGAATGTGCTATCTCAGCAGACTATGTGAAGATAATTAGCTCACTTTTGGGAACTATTCAGAACCCCCTGTTGTCTGTAAAATCTCATCCTCATCATTTATTGACATTCCCAGTAAGTTCTATTCCAAACTACTGTATGTCCAATGGCGAGTATGGTTAGAAATAACACTCATAAATGCAACTGAGACTAGAAGGTACTATATTTAGCTGCTATAGCTAAATAAATCTTTGAGTCCCTTCTCCCACTTGCAACCAGTGCTAACCCCTCAATCGGGATAAATACAGGAAATACTTCAAAATATCAATTTCCATGTATATAAAGTTTCATTTGTCAAAGATCTATCATTTCACCTGATAAATGTAACCTTCTCTGGTCGCATCAACTATTTCCATGGTCTTTGGAGTAAAGACCCTGCCGCCCTGCACCAGCCCTGTACTACGACAGTATTCTGCCAAAGATTCTGTAGCATCTTGACTGGCGTGGACCAGAATCTGATGATAAAGAGGGTAATTAAGACAACAAGCTTTAAAAAAGGTGAAGATGCATGATGTCAAACTCCATAGTCAAACTCCATTGTTCATGATAGATATATACTAGACTGGTGATTCTTTATTACAGAAGAAACAGTGCCTGGAAACTTCATTTCAAAATCAGTGCAGGATTGAAGCTTTAGGATGACATTAAAATGAACTTATTCAATAAATTACTCCATACTAATCAGGTCCAATATAATGGCAATCCTTGGGCAATGCACAAAAGATAAAGAGGTTAAAATTCCATTAATGTTATTCAGAATTTGTGGAATAAATGTCACAGGAAATATGTAATTGAAAATGTTCACCACAGCACTTTCAAGTTTACCACAAGTTCTTTTACTACATCAGGTAGAGATATCTGTCATAGTAAAACAGCCAAATGACAGATCTGTAAAAAGATGGCCTTTGCTTTCACCAATTGAAAATGTCACTGTATGATAAGGTCAATAAAATAACCTACCAATTCTCTAGGCTTGATCTGATTCAATATCTTTTTAATAGATTCCCCATCTGATCGGCCCTCAAAATCAATGAAGATAATGTTAGCCTGAATGTTGAAAGTCTTTGCTGTAGAAACACATTTGGTAGGGATTTCGGACATATCTGTAATGACAAATGATACAGTTAGTTTATAACATAACGAACTATTATTTAAAAAAAGGACAGGCCAAATGATTTAGAAAATACACATTGAAATTGTGTTAATTTACATCCAGGAATTTTTTTCACAAAACTCCTCTGCCATTCAACATTATTATGCTAGGCATTACATCTTTTTAGGTTTTTATTTATCTGCAGAAAGTACACTATAACTATTTGTAAAAAATGATCAGAATTTTATTATGTTATGAACAACATATTTCATTCAGGATACTAAGAAACTGTTTAATGTGTGTGTATGTCCAAAAAAGATACAGTGACAGGTATCTCTCTGGCAATGAAACATGGGTGAATATCTCAATTATAGGCTACCTGTCAATGAATGGAAAAAAAAAAAGATGAGCATGAAAAATAAAAGGCAGGATTAATTAATACCAGTGTTTTGGCATCAAAAGATAGCTATCATATTTCATTTGTAACACTGAAAGGCCAAATTTATATTCACAAACAGTAACACGGAATGGTCAAATTTATATTCACAAATAAATGCAAACATAAAAAAATAGTCTGCAGCTGTGAATAGTTTTTACTGAAAAAATATTCACTGTTAAGATCCTTACTTTTTTTTTGGTATTTTGCCAGTGGTTTTGTCTAGTTTCATCTGAACTTTGGAAGAATATTGGGAGAGGTACTCACGCAATGACGTAATGTCACAGAGTGAGAATAAGACCCCAACCCCACAGATTTTAGATCGATCTATCCCTGTNCGGAACCAATTAATATGTGTCATTTATTCGTTTATTACCACCCAAATTGATTTCTGAATCAACACAATTTTTTTGACTTGCCAGGTAATTTGAAAAGGATTTAAGCTGTTATCAGGAATTATGACAGCAGATTTGAACGTTTCACTGTACGTGTTATAAATCATATCACAGGAAAGAAAAGATAACATACAAAGTCTGCATGATGAAAATCCATATAATAATCCAAGGAATATCAATCAAAAGGGTCATGCATAATTTTTCTTGTCATGGAATTAACTTTTATGGTTTTGTCACCAAGCCTTAAATGGTAATTTATGCTCTTTTCTCTAGGCAGGGTTGTGGCAGTTTGAGCAGAGAAAAAGAGACAGAGATGACATTTTATTTTTAACATCAGCAAATCGATACAAGTCTGCATCCTAATTACAGATTCAGAAGTTTACAGTTTAAAGATTGTAGCACAGTAATAAGTATAGTGAATTATTGTATGAAATCCTTTAATACAAGAATAATTTTTTTTTTCAGGTAAAAATTGTGTGATGAATTTTTCATCGTTAGTTATGACAGTCATGAGTGATAGAACCATGAAAACTAGAGATAAGTCACAGGGCACATACCTTTGTCAATAAATTAAACTGATTAAAATGAGATGGTGGCTCAAGAGTGGAAAACCACAGATTTAAAGATAAACAGTTCCTCACCTGAACAGGTCATAAATCTTTAGGATTCATGTAAATAATTAACATTTTAAGTAACAAAAAAATATTTCCAATTAAAACAGAACAGGGGAATTTTCTTTCACTGTCAGAGCTTCTAATTAATAATGACAAGGTCGAACTGATGATCTTAACATATAATAGATGGAATGAAGCTTCTTGCAGTCATGGCCATCCTCATTGTTAATAACCTAAAGTGACTCCAGTATAAATAAACAAGAAGACTTCAAGAAGTCAACCCACCTGGTTAGAGGGCAAAGATACCAGCACAGGCTGTAGGTCTCCACTGTCCTCATCCTCTGCTCCCACTAGAAGGACAGAAAGGACAATCCAAATGAGCATGTCACACTTCAAATTTATGAAAAAGTTCGTATTATAAAACCAAGAAAAACAATTCAGCAAATCTAAGTGAATCATAATTAAGTCATTTCTTTAAAAAAGCTAATTAAGCAGTTGAATAATTAAATTTTAAGTGTTTCATCAGACTTTTTTGCATCTACAAATTAATTAATAGATGAACCATACTTTGCCAATCTTTTCTTCACTTACATTTCTTCTTCTCTAGTGCATCTGCCTCCTCAAACTTAGCACTAGTGTCAGTCTTTGCTTTGGTAAGATCTAGCATTCCATCTACCCAGCCGAGTTCAATGTCTCTTGTTTTAGCAAGTTTTATTTTGCTAATCAGGGAATCTTTTAACCTAACCTGTAAAATCATTGGGACAAAATCAATTAAACTATTTATATCTGTCAGTCATCTTGAAACACATTAAAACAATCATCGGATGTCAAACGAAATGCAGTTATGACAACTCACTCAAGAATGTGCTATCTCAGCAGACTATGTGAAGATAACTGGCTCACTTTTGGGAACTATTCAGAACCCCCTGTTGTCTGTAAAATCTCATCCTCATCATTTACTGACATTCCCAGTAAGTTCTATTCCAAACTACTGTATGTCCAATGGCGAGTATGGTTAGAAATAACACTCATAAATGCAACTGAGACTAGAAGGTACTATATTTAGCTGCTATAGCTAAATAAATCTTTGAGTCCCTTCTCTCACTTGCAACCAGTGCTAACCCCTCAATCAGGATAAATACAGGAAATACTTCAAAATATCAATTTCCATGTATATAAAGTTTCAAAGATCTATCATTTCACCTGATAAATGTAACCTTCTCTGGTCGCATCAACTATTTCCATGGTCTTTGGAGTAAAGACCCTGCCGCCCTGCACCAGCCCCGTACTACGGCAGTATTCTGCCAAAGATTCTGTAGCATCTTGACTGGCGTGGACCAGAATCTGATGATAAAGAGGGTAATTAAGACAACAAGCTTTAAAAAAGGTGAAGATGCATGATGACAAACTCCATAGTCAAACTCCATTGTTCATGATAGATATATTCTAGACTGGTGATTCTTTATTACAGAAGAAACAGTGCCTGGAAACTTCATTTCAAAATCAGTGCAGGATTGAAGCTTTAGGATGACATTAAAATGAACTTATTCAATAAATTACTCCATACTAATCAGGTCCAATATAATGGCAATCCTTGGGCAATGCACAAAAGATAAAGAGGTTAAAATTCCATTAATGTTATTCAGAATTTGTGGACTAAATGTCACAGGAAATATGTAATTGAAAATGTTCACCACAGCACTTTCAAGTTTACCACAAGTTCTTTTACTACATCAGGTAGAGATATCTGTCACAGTAAAACAGCCAAATGACAGATCTGTAAAAAGATGGCCTTTGCTTTCACCAATTGAAAATGTCACTGTATGATAAGGTCAATAAAATAACCTACCAATTCTCTAGGCTTGATCTGATTCAATATCTTTTTAATAGATTCCCCATCTGATCGGCCCTCAAAATCAATGAAGATAATGTTAGCCTGAATGTTGAAAGTCTTTGCTGTAGAAACACATTTGGTAGGAATTTCGGACATATCTGTAATGACAAATGATATAGTTAGTTTATAACATAACAAACTATTATTTAAAAAAAGGATAGGCCAAATGATTTAGAAAATACACATTGAAATTGTGTTAATTTACATCCAGGATTTTTTCTCACAAAATTCCTCTGTCATTCAACATTATTATGCCAGGCATTACATCTTTATAGGTTTTTATTTATTTGCAGAAAATACACTATAACTATTTGTAAAAAATGATCAGAATTTTATTATGTTATGAACAACATATTTCATTCAGGATACTAAGAAACAGTTTAATGTGTGTGTATGTCCAAAAAAGATATAGCGACAGGTATTTCTCCGGCAATGAAACATGAGTGAATATCTCAATTATAGGCTACCCGTCAATGAATGAAAAAAAAAAAGAAGAGCATGAAAAATAAAAGGCAGGATTAATTAATACCAGTGTTTTGGCATCAAAAGATAGCTATCATATCTCATTTGTAACACCGAAAGGCCATATTTATATTCACAAACGAATGCAAACATGAGAAAATACATTCATTGCAGCTGTGAATAGTTTCTACTGAAAAAATATTCACTGTTAAGACCCTTACTTTTTTTGGTATTTTGCTGGTGGTTTTGTTGTTTCATCTGAACTTTGGAAGAATATTGGGAGAGGTACTCACGCAATGACGTAATGTCACAGAGTGAGAATAAGAACCCATTCCCACAGATTTTAGATCAATCTATCCCTGTGGGGAGTCTCACTAGATTACTGTCAGCTTAGCCAGCTTAAATGTCTGTCCCACCTACTAAAAGCTGTAAGGGGGTAATTAACTACCGTGCACACTCAGCTGAAAGCAATTTAGCGTGAACCCCCAGGGAGTTAGGTCGATCTAAATGGATCGATTTAAATCTATGGGAATGCACTCTAAGTCACTGATAGTTCCCAGATGTAAACAAGTCGACACGACAACAAGACAAAACCATCAGCAGAATACCAAGAAAGTTAGGATCTTAACAATGAACATTTATTCAGCGCCTTCTTATTCACACTGAGTTTAATTTTCAGTCTGTCCTCAAACAATTCAAACATCAAATTACTTCTATGTAACAAGAATATGATGATAATGATATTTGGATATTTTTATAAACTAACCTTGCATCTCTGAGTCTTCTGTGGCTGTGTTTTCCTATAAATAAAACCAACAGATTTTAAAACTGATCAATGATTTTTGCATGTTTAGTTTTACTGTTTTCAGTATTTTCATTACTATTAATACCACATATTATAGTTCTTCTTTGAATATTTGAACTACGACATTGTACTTTCTCAATTTGGTTCCCCAACATAAAGCTAAGAAATTCATTTTATTTACATGTAATCTTAGCAGACCACAACTAACATCAGAAGTATATCAGGTGGTTTATCTGAGGAAATGCCAACATCACTTTTTTTGTTTTTATGTAGATAGTTATACAAGCACATGATTTAGATGCAAACTAATTACAGCTTGCAAATAAAAAAATTGATTTTCAAATTTCCTTACTACTTATGTAAACTCCCTTTTTTTTTCAAACTAATCCAGGCTTATGGAGGTGTGTGTGTGTGTGTGTGTGGTGGGGGGGGGGGGGGGTGCAAGTAGTTAGGTGAATATTTCACAAACCATACCAGTTTGTCTTCTTCTCCTAGTGTTGTCTCTAGGATCATGAAGTCTTCTGGTCTGAAATATATCACAAAAATCAAATAAAAGTGTAGTCACTTGAAAGCAATCTCATTTTTGTAATGAGACAAAACTTTAAATCATTTAGAACTTAAACATCAGCAATGAACCATTCTCTCATTGGATTATCTGGTAGTCTGATAATCAACAATATTTGAAAGAACAACAAATCCCATGAACATTTCAAAGTTTCAGTTACAAAATTTACATTTACAAAATTTTTAAGAGATTTCTGAAGAGAATATAAGTGGAATCACTACAGTCTTCACTATAAAAATTGGAGTAATTCGTCTCACAAAAAGTTCACTCCTGTAACTTTCCCTCCAAAGGTAGGACAGAGAACAAATGGATAGTCATAAACACTGAGATTTGGGGAAATGGTGACAAAATCAAAGGATACAATGTTGTAATATGAACAGTTGGAAAAACAGATTAAAATGCATTTAGGAGAGAAATGTCAGTCAGTATACATATTATTATATATCAAATTTTCAGATGATTGTTAAACAAACTTGCAATGAAATATTTCACGCAATTGTACAACTTTACATTTAGTTCAAGATACAAAGTCATAAAGTTAGGTATAAAGTAAAAACTAATACTGAATACAGGCATCTCTTTACTTTAGTTTAATAATGAAAAAAATAATCACCTTATGATTTCGCCATAATCATCCCAACGTATCTTTTCCTCCATAAAAGGAAACATGGGGTATGACTTCTTGGCTTGCTTGAAAAATCCTAGTCTGGTTTTTCCCTATTAGAAAAATAAATAGATATTATAATATCACAAGTATGAAGAACAAAATATGTGTTGTTAATTTAAAGAACAAATGTTATGTTGTTACATATACATTAGTTGGAACATTTTAATCCTTTTCCGAATCCTTTTACGAATCAAAGAATCAAAGACAGAAGCCTAAGAAATATCCTAGAAATGCTTAACCAAATAGGGGCACCCACCTTAAACTGCACAAACAGACCAGCTTAAGAACTTAAATGTGTATTTAAAATAGTTTATAACTTCTTTAATTTCAGTCCTTTTATCCTTAAATAAATCGCATTGAGACACAAGTCAGTCAGACACACTAATAGAATATGTTGAATCCAATATAAAATATCTGATCCAAACCAACAAGAAATTCAATAAAAAAATCTCTTTCCACCAGTCAATGATCTGCCACTTCAAATACCGGTGATCATCAAAAGATAATCAAGTCAGTTCACCAGATACATCCCAATCAAAGCTCCTGTGTCTAGACTGTGTTGCCATGGCAATGGTGCACTCATATAGGCACTCCCCCCTCCCAACCCTTTCTTTATCCATTTAACAACTAAGGGATACAGAAACATAAATTAAGCATATATATATATATATACGACTGTCGCAGCAATAATTAAATAATCATCTGAAGGTTAATCAAGTACACCAATAGTGCTCTTAAAAAAATATTCCTATCCTGATAATGAATATCTTAATAATGGATTGCATCATTCTGTTCCTGTTTACATTTAATCCATTTTCTCATTAAAAGTATGATGGCTTTTTCATCCTTATTTGCTTTTTTGTCTATATCATAACAGTGCATGGTAAATACGTGCTCTACCATTTATTGATTTATTTATTTCCTGTGCATCAGAGTGTATACCTCCGTTATCTCTCTGTAGTGTGGCATTTCCTGTGTGGTTAAACAGATGATTTGTTCTAAAGAATGAATTTGCTATTGTTTTTACCATCTAATAACGCATCTTTGTACATCCATTTGGTAATTGTGCAACAATATTTCCAGCAAAATATTCTAGCACAAAATATTCATAATTATCCCCTTTATACCAGATTTTCATTTAAGAGACCATTCCCACAGATATTTAGATCGACCTATCCCCCTGGGAAGTCTCACTAAATTGCTGTCAACTTGGCTGGCACACCTAGTAACGTTGTTAGGGGGTAATTATCTTTACCCTAGCTGATTCGGTAGGCGTGACAGGAATTAAAGCCTCTTGAGCTGACAGCAATTTAGCGTGAACCCCCAGGGAGTTAGGTCGATCCAGATGGATTGATCTAAATCTGTGGGAATGCAGTCTTAGTCTTAATTCTGATTGCACTTAACTCCATTACACAGCAAATTTACTTATGCCTTTATACACATAATACTCACATGGAGCTATTCTGACACAACCCTATAATTTGGTGCAGCATTAGAATGTACAGATGTGTTTTCATTGATTTATTCAAGAGCTCAACTAGTTCTACATTTGTATCACAGTTCACAAAAGTTACTGCTGATTAGGCATCCAAAAGTTTGCCACATTGGAGTAGTTAACAATTGTATGCAGTTAAAACCACAGAGTGTAGTGTTGGAAATTTGTTTACTGCTGGCTTTCACTTTCATTTAATTTGCAGTCACTGGCACTACTCTTTAGAAGATCTTCGGGGTGCTGGATATGTTAAAAAGGCCTACATTTGTCAAAGCCTTTTTCACATTTCTTTTATATGAAACACTTATCTTAATATTAGAGCAATAAAAAATAACATTTTTAGAGTAAAAAATCTCCTTCTGTTGCTTTATTCACCATCCTACTGGCTTCTGCACACAGGTGTTTATTGTCAATTTTGCTGCTTTGTAAATAGCGGTGAGACATTGTGATTGGATCATGATGTATCACTGTAACTAAGTAAGATATCATCATGAAAATTGATATGGTTGATAATTGGGGTGTAAAAAACAATCTGGTGCCAG